CTCCCAGTTTCTCAAATGTTGGAGGGCTATGGTATAAATCTGTTGAACTGTCAATGTTCTTGAGGTATGCCCATTCTCTTTGAATGGTCTCCTTGGAAATCATAAATAGTTGTCTTCAGCTGTACTGCAAAAATGCAAATAATTGCCAGATTTGCTCACTGACAGCTTCCTTTGTAATCCATTTTAGTTTTGCAAAGTAATATTGGTCTCTTTCTCTGGAGAATTTCTGAAACCTTGTTAATGCATGTTAATTCATAGTGGTTTAAAGTGATTATGCTATTTTTCCACCAAGTGGAACTGAGTAAAATATCGCCCAAATGCAAATGTTGTTAAAGGAACTACTACTGCTTTTAGGTTTCATATCTGTTTTTGTGAGTTTCCAGTTTTCATTCCAAAGTCACCGTTAAGATGCACACAACCTATCCACCACTTTGCTTGATGCCTTATCTTCTTTATTCCTTTGCTGTAGCAGACCTAGAACTAAGAGTAAGCACAGAAGAGGTGGGCACAACTGTCACCTAAAATTGTATTCAGTTCTAGAATGTTCTGAGTAACTTCTGTGCAAATGCATAACCCATACTAATGATCCCTTGATAAACCAGTTACAGGAAAGGAACCTATTCTTCCTCTTTGCTTCTGTTTGCTGCTCACCGACTGCAGTAAGGGGATAACCAGCTTGGGGATGGCCCTTGCAAAGATAGAGTGATCCTGCCTACTTGAATGAAACCAGAAGAGTTCAAAATGAGGGTGTGCTCATGGAATCAGTTTAGAAATTATCGTAGTTGGCTGTCAGAAAGGATCTGGACAGGGAATGAATCAAAGCTGCTGTTAGGTGGAAAAACATCCTGCCCATTCAGTTATCAAGTATACAGCCTGGCAACAACATAGTTGATGGGAAAGAGTGGAAAGTGGGCAGTATGGGCAGGATACAAATTTGGATGGTGAGTATTCTCTGCCACCAATACTGGCTTGGTTTTCTACACATCACAGCAATTAAAACTCAGCAGCAGAATATTAAACTGTTATTACTTTAAAATAATACAGACTTTAGGAAAATAGCAGAGCCTTTTTACACCTTCAAGGGCAAGAGGTATTAGATGAATTTGGCAAGTGTCACTTTCATACTTTTTTGCATAAAAGAATAGTCTGCTTGATAATTTCCTTTTAATATGATAGGGTAACACATGTCTTTGGTAACCACTTGCAGTCTACCTAAAGTTCCTCTCCTATACTTTCATTTAGTTATAATGGGTGTTTTCACTTCCTATTCACTGACAGTTTCTGCTCTATTGTTTTGACCCACCCTTTCAGTGGCTTTGCTTGATTGCTACATGGTTCTGGCAGCAATATTTTAGACGCTTTAACTCATGAAGGAAAATAATGACTGAATTTACACAGAATGACAGCTTATCATTCTAACTGGTCATGTTCAGTTGTTGTGTTCCACACACCCAGACTGCTTCTTGCAGGATGACATTGTTTGGGGCTACAAGCTGTCCTGAAAACTCATGGCTTGTTAAAGGAGTTGTTGAACCCATCATGAGTTTTTTATCAACTGAACCTGTGTTGCAGGAAGCAGTTAACCAAGTTGCTTGGCAAGAGTGGCTTAACTTAACACTATTATTGTGCTCATTTGACTAACCAAATGCCCAACTGGTGCTTTGGAATGATTCTTACTGGCTTTGTTTCCCCATGAAATCATATGCCTTTGTCAAAACAAAAATGAGCCCTAATTAACTCATTCTATAAAGACAGCTGTCAAAATTCCATTCTCCTGTAAATCATTTGGCTCATACTTTCCCGCTTTTCTGAGCACCAATGTTTTGGAAAACAGTACAATAAGTGGAGGATTTTGAAAATAGTCATGGGAAGGGATCAGTATACATTCCACCACTTTTTGTGTGTGAAGATCCCCTCATGTCTTTGCTTCTCACTTGACTAGTTATTGTTTCACAGCTGTCAAATGAGAGGCAAAGCCATTGTGGCATACCGGTTAAAGTGTGTTAGACTTGGACTCAGAAGATCCAAGTTAAGTCCACACTTGGTTGGGAAGTTCATCAGGTGACTAAGAGCCAGTCACTGACTCACAGCCTTACCTACCTCACAAGGTTATTATGATGATAAGATGGAGATGAAGATCAGAGTTTGGATAAGAATGAAGCAACCAATTAAGTTGCTTGTAGTTTTTTTTGGTGGTCTCTTTGCATCACACACATGGACTGTACCTGCCATGCTTTGTCCATGTTCGTGAATGGTTTTTCTGTACTTGGACAGGAAACACCAACCATGGCATTGATGAGTGAAGGCTGGACATTTTGGATAGTTGGAGTTGTTACCATGTACCTCTGAAAATACATGGATTCCTCTGGGATATGCCTGTGAAGACTGGTGATGAAGGAATGGGAGGGAGGGGTTAACCCATGGTGAACCACATTGTCTGTTTAGTAGGCTGTGAATTATTCACATGTAAGCCATACTGTGTAGCTTATTTGCAGGTTAGAAATGTATGAGTAGTATAGTTAATATCTCAAAAATACTCTAGCCTGCAAAAACTTATTCCATAACAAATGTGTTAGTTCATAAGGTGCTGCAAGAGAGTAACATATCCATTTGCAAATTGTGCCTGAATACCTGTTCAGTTGAAACTGCTTTGGTCTACATTCTAAGGAAACCTGATCCTGGTAGTCATTTAATGTTTTGTAAGCTTTGTCTCTCAGAAAAGGGGATCATAAATGGTACAAGCATGTTCCAAATAGGAGAACCTGTTTGTGATGAAGAGTGATTCAAAAATTCACAAATAAATACACTGTCATTTTGCATAGTTATTTTGGAAATGTATCTTTGTAATACAGTGTCACCTGAATAATATAATTTACAAAGGGATGCCTTGTGTTTCGGATAAGGCACATGTTTGCTTGTAGACTGTTACTAAGTTATTTTTAATAGCCTTCCATTTATTTCATTTTAATAACTAATGTGGCATGGCACATAGACTTTGCAAACCGAAGATTTTGGGATGGCAAAATGTTTAATAGTGAAAAGTGCCAGTATTAGACTAAAATAGCAAAGCATTTCTCTTAGCACCAGAACAAGCATTTGGTTCAATGGATAAGGGTTTTTCTTCATTCTCAGCTACTCACTGATGAAGATGGGAGAGGATTTTTTTTTCTAATGAAACTCCCTATAAAGATTGCATGCTGACATGAATTTTGAATATTAGGAAATCAGACCTTCAATTATAAACAAGACTGTACAGGCATTGGGAAGTACATCAAATAAATACTAATCATGTTTGCACTCTGATAATAATCCAAAAGTAAACAAAAATAGTCCAAAATTGTTGACTTATCCTAGTTTACTATGAGCAAATAACATGTTGGTGCATACTTCTGCAGGAGTATGTAAAAATAGAAATTAAAAGGGGTTTTTTGTGACAGGCTTATGAGGTAGGGATAAACTAGGGTTTGTTGGCTTACATATCTTGACTTTTGTGGGAAAGGCAAACTAGCACCCTAGGTTTGGATCTCACACAACGCTTTTGTTTTTTATTTGTTTTGCACAGTTACAGAACAAGTGGAGTGAAGTGGGAGAAAATAAGTATATAGCAGGCTATTTGTTCACTGTAAACCAAGATAAACCAGCAGTTCTGGCTTAATGCTATATGTGAACAGCCAATATTTTACAAAAATACTGCAAACCTGTACTACTATTTAGTGCTTCCTAAATTCCAGGTGTTTTCAACTGTTGGTAGTCAGCCTTCTTATATATCCCTGGTTAAATTTCCAGACATGTATCTGTGCTTGTCTGTTACAGGAAGGACAGCAAATAGTTTTGTTGCGCCTTCAAAATTGGCACATTTATTATGCTACAAGTCTTTGTAGACTGGTGAAGTTCATTAGATGCATGTAATATTAACCTCAGTTAGTAAATGTGTATATATGGGTATGTGGAAACAGAAACAGTGAAACAAGAGTGTAGCAATCCAAGCCGCCTTAACTGGAATGGCAAAAGCAGTGCTTCTCATAGCTATGGAAGACAGCATAGAAATAGCTAGAGTCAGTGGATGCAACAACCTGTGGCCAGCTCCTTGTGTATGCACATAAACAGTCTGATTTCCTTATATTTTATACTCAAATTGTAAATGCCATAGTTGTTGGCATATAGTGGCTTCATTATTTTTATGGCTATTTCTGCATAGAAAAACATCTAAAGTCCAAAAATTCATGAACAGATTCCCCCTCCCCCCATCTGTTTAACTGCCTAGAATAAGTTCTCCGTTCTATTTTTACAATTACTATTACACTTTAGAACTGTACTTTCTCTTTTCTTTGAAACAGTAAAGAATTATATCTTCTGCCACTCAGCTATCTGGATTGTGAGAGTAAAGAATAATTAAAGTTCCTTCAGAGAAAAAGAATCCATGTTATGTACTTGTGAGCATGAACTCCTAAATGATTTCTGGGGAATCTTTTTTAACTCTTGAAGCAACTTTCAATATTTATTAACATTTTTGGTGGTGGGAGGAAGACAGCAGTATTGCAAACTAGTGGAGGCATGATATAGAGGTAATCATGTGTTTCACAGATAGTTTAGTGATAAATGTGCACGTACACTAATTTATGCTCTGTTCTAATCACATTCTGTTGGATTAGTATCACTTTGTGTAGTGTCTTCTTGTTTTTACAGTTTCATGATTTGCAGTGGCGCTTAATGCTCTATTCTTGAGCAACCACCCTCTTCTCATATGTTGTGGATTTTTATCAAACTAGCAAAATGCTTTGTAACTTCCTTTCCTGCTGTCTGCAGCAGAATACGGAAACCTTAAGTGCCTGAAGCTACTTCTGCTATTGCAAGAGTTACAGTTGGGTGGGGATGTCAGAACTTTTTTTCTCCTCACTAATGTTCTGAATGTAGGAGAAAGTAAAATTAAAATGTGCTCGGCATTGTGGCATATCATAGTAACCTGTTCCCTACTTATTTCTTCACCTGCCTCTTTTCAGTACTGCAGTTGAAGCTCCAGCAGCGACGGACTCGTGAGGAGCTGGTTAGCCAAGGGATCATGCCTCGTAAGTATAATTTATTTAAATTTACCCTTGCTCTTTGAATAGAAAGGACCTTCATTTAGATATCTGAGCCCTTTGAGCTCATTGCAAGATTTGTTCCAGTTTCATCTCCATGTAAAGAATGGGAGCTCTGTGCAGATAAAGCCAATTTAAATTCCTTGGATTAATACACAGGCACCTGCTTTCTAGAAGTTTGCTGAAGCACAAAGTAAAAACAAGTGGTATTACTTGGTTCTAAAACTACTTAAATGAGGATGCTGTCGTGCTACAAATGCTTGAAATGCTAAGTGAATGAGAATAATTTTCTTAGTAGACTTCCTGTCGTGAGCACACATATTTGAGCAGGGAGCTTGTTTGCACACATGCTTAATAATACCCTGACTGGAGAAATGTCCAGGCAATCTTTCTTTCTTCACCAAAGGTGATAGATAATAGGTTATTTTGCAGAAATACTATAACAGTTGTTTGAAGATGTTGAAATGCATATATGCAGAGCTAAGTAATGCTTTGAAAAATAATTTTTACGTATATGGAAAAGTATGATGGAAGTAGGCCTAGAGAGAAGATTTGCGCTGGCAGAAATAACAGGCGGATAGGAAAGCAGACAATTATTTTAACATTCTCTGCATTTTTTTGAAGTCTTTACAAAGGCTGTTAACCTTGCTAAGAACCAAGCAGTCACTTTTTCAGTATGTCCTTTACCTTGTTGCTTTTTTAACAAGGGTATTAAACTTTTCACTTATGGGCTAGAAGGACTTTTTACTAATTCCATTTATAAGCTGCATACAATATTAAGATTTTATTTTATGAGGCTTAACTGCCGCAGTAACAACTGGGATTTAATTAGCAATGTTTTGTTGAATCATGAGCTGTCATCATGTGTGAGCCTGGAACTGTGGGTTGTAAATGAACCCGTAGTTTGTTATTGGGTTGTAAACTCTGATTTGTTTTGTAGGTTGTTGTTATAGTTGAAACCAATCTTACAGGTTGTTGATGTAAGATTGCCATGTAACAGAGGCAGAAGACAAGAATGGTTAAAAAAAGGCTGCAGCCTCTTTACCTGCCAGTAGTGCAGTGTTGCAGTGCCAGTTGAGATCCAGGGAGGGAGCAGGCAAAAGAGGAGAAAAACAAACATCTTGAAGGACTGAGAAAACCAACTGCAATTTGTTTGATCATCTTCTAGGCAAACCCTGGAGGGAGTGACAAACCATAGTTTAAATAAACCATGAGTCTCTATCATATGATTCAGGGCATTGTGGAACTGACCTATACACAATTTCATCAACTGATGCTTTTTAAGAACATGACTGCACTTGAGGGCAGCTCCTGGTTCTTTGAAAGTTGAAAAGCAAGTAAAGGGGTGGGTGGATAGGATAGAAGGTACTTAAGTAAATTATTCTATCCACTGTTAGGTTCTAGTTCTCCTGTTCAAGGCAGGTAATTTTAGAAAGCACATTCATAAAATTTGCTAGATTAAAAATGTTTAATAGAGCTCTCTTTGCCTGTTCAGCATTTATAATTTCAAATTGCATTGATCCATGTTGTCAAATCTAGTGGAGTAGGAACAATTGTACTTGAATGGTTGATTTCCAAGTGGCTTCACCTCCTTATTTATTTATTATAATTATATCCTTCCTTTTTTCTCTTTTGCAAGGAACTCAAGGCTGCTTACATAATTCTTTTCCTCTCTATAACAACCCTATGAGATAGCTTGGACTGAGACTCTGTGATAGGCCCACTTAATGGGCTCCATGGCTGAGTAGGGACTAGAACTCAGTTCTCCTGAGTCATGGTCCTATATTCTTAACCACTGAGCTACACTGGCTCACACATGGTATCTTCATGACAGTTTTGAAATTAGACTTCCAAAAACTTTTTGTAGTGTCATTTTGATGTTCCCCTACATGGATGCAAGTGTTCAGCTCTTTAAAAATTCTGTATTTAAAAACAATCTCATGTATTAAAAACTGTAATCATGCTGTTGTAGATTTGTTAAGTCAGTAGCTGTCAAAGCATTTTTATTCCTCTTTCTGGACTTCTGATAGCTTGGAAAAGAGTTATGTGAGCTTTAGATTGTTTTCAGGGTGCCTTCTTATCCTGCTTTGCTTCCAGTGCAAAGACACTGGAAGGAACTTGTCGAAGAAGTCAAATTCTGGCTTAGCATCAAGAACAAATTTAGTGACCATTAGAACAATATGACACAATGGAACCATTTAGCTAGGGAAGTCATGGGCTCTTCCACATTGGAGGGAGTGGGAGATGCATTTGGACAGCTATCTGTCAGGGATGCTTTAACCTGGAGCAGAGGTTTGAATCCATTAGTCTTATTAGTCTTTCCCAACTCTCCTATTTTGCTTCTATGATTATAAGAACAGTTGTATATAAGTGCTTTCATATAGCCTGAGGTGCCTGACCCTGCCTAATCTTAGAAGCTAAGCAGGGTTGGGCCTGGTGGGAATCTGGATTGGATGACTTAAAATATTGTGAACCATCCAGAGAGCTTTGGCTATGGGCAGTATAGAAATGTAATGTAAATAATAACAACAACAACAACAATAAATTTGATAGTGCTTTCCTGGCAAAAATATGATATAAAATGTGACTACTTGATATCTTAAGCTTTCAGCATATATAAACATAATTCAATAAGAGGACTGATAAACTTTTTGCTGCCCTGCTGCAGAAGAGTTCTAAGAATCCTGTCAAAGAAAATCAGTAGTTAATCAAGCAGCATAGCAATAGTTGCAAGTGTTTTACAGGGTGGCATTATTTATTATTTAATATAATTGTAACCCACCTTTTAGAGAATAGCTTGCTTTCTATGTTTTCAGGGCCAACCTAGGTTCAGGTCATCTTTATATTCTCCAAAGTCATCCTGGTTGAGGGGCTGTCACTGAAACAAGTTTTGATCATTTATCCATCAGTTATAGCCTGTTTATTGAGCTAGCATTTCAAGTTTGCATATTAATCAAGTTCTTAATATAAAGTCCTTAGTTACAAATTAACATTCAGTTATGGGATGTGTGGCCAGCAACAGGCAGCTTGTGCCATCTCCCCATTTGCCCAAGGTACTGCCGCTGCCTGCCCTGCCCTGCTCTTTCCTCAAGCCCCTCTCATGAGTAAACCTGCTGTACTGGCTGGAGAAAAGGCTGAGAAGTGGATGACAGTGCCCACTTTCAGTAGCAGTCATCCCTGTTCCCCTTAGTGCTCCTGTGGTGTCCCCTGGGGAACTGGTGGGAGGACTGAGGGGAGAAAATGAGAGGCAGTGCCTCATCAACCCCATTGATTAGTCAGGCACAGCAGGGATCCAGGATGGTTGTATAGCCTATCTTGGTGATAGTGACTGGGATAAGGGTCAGGTTTAGCTCCTCTCACCATTTTACTTTGTTCCAGTATGGCTACTGGAGAACTGAGAAATCTCATGACTGCATAATTTGAGCCTGCATTACATTTCTAGAAAAAATGTTTAGAACAGGGGTGGTCAGAAAGTAGATCCACAGATATTTTGGACTGTATTCTGATCATTGACCATATTGTCAAGAGCTTTGAAGATCTAAAGTTCAAAATATCTGGAGAGCTGCTTCTGTCCGTTCCTGGTCTAGAGGATGATAGAAACTAGAGAAGGTACTATTTTCAGTCTGGCATGTAGTGATTTAAATACCAAACAATGCAATAAAAACTTCTATTTTAATGATGAAAACTGACATGATCCTAATTCTTATTTGCTGTTGTAGAAAGCTCAGAATAAGCTTTGCTCTTTCTTTGTATAGAATGTGGATTGCATTGAAATTCCCTTACTTTCCTCCATCTTTGTCCCTCTGCACATTCAGTTTGAAACTGTTCAGGCACATCTTATGGTGCTCCTTAATCTTGATCTTGAGAGGTGCCTTTCTTGATCCTGCTGGGCATTTTTTCCATACGTTTGATAACACAAAATAAGCACAAGATAAAACATCAAACAGTACTTCAGTTATCAGGATGAGGAAGTGGATTAAATCTCTAATGTAAGATCTGATTTCTTGAATTTTTAATTTTATGGGTCAACCATAATAGACAATTTACAATTCAGAGAGACTTTATAGTGCTTTAAAAAGAAGTTCATTTTATGCTGACAATACTGCATATTGGGAAAAGTTTCTGCAATGTATTTGTTCTGTATTTGTCCTTTCCTAATGTGCATTTATGTTAAAGTTAAACTTACTTAAATTAAACAGTTTAAATATATAAGACTGAAGGCCTAGGACTGGATATTCCAGGCCTATAGTTCTGTGAACTTACCCAGATTGACAGATGTTTGGGAGTAGCAGTAGTGCAGTCAATGAACTGATAGGCTTCTTTTCAGTCACTTAATTGGATGCAATTTTTGTTTTGGGGAATTCATCCAGAAATAGATTTGAAATAGTTTGTTCTAAATTTTTTTTTTCTGAAGGTGAAGTTAAAAAGGAAAAAACTGCATTTTTCACAAGTACACTTAGGCTTGTTAAATACCCATTAAAAACAACCTATGTCCTTTTAGAAGAAGGCAGGATATGGTCACAACTGTATCTTTTTTTTTCCTTACATTTTAAACCAGAGGACTTAGAATCCTCTGTGTTTGCCCTTATTAACTTTCCTGGTATCCTAATGGTAAAATATTCTTTTCCCAGTGTAAACTTGTGAAATGTCATGGCCTTTGCCAGACTTAGAACCTGTAAACCAGTGTACCCTCTATATAAACAGCGTAGAATAGACAGTTCAACATTTCCTAACACATTATGCCTGTCTCCAGGAGTGCTGTTCTTAAAAGCACTGTTTCAAGAAACAGTGAAGTAGATGAATTTTCATTTTTTCATGACAGGGTCAAAGCATGGCCAAGCAGCTTGGGTTTTACATTACATTATCAAGGGAAGCATTATAACTCAGAGGTAAAGCACATGCTTTTTATGCAACAAGCTTTGAGGTTTAATCTTTACCATCTCCATGTAGGCAATAGTCTACAGGCAATAGTCTGACTTGATATAAAC